TAGCAATTTCATTAAGGTAATAAACGTATGTTTGATGTATTGGTAATATACGTATTGTTTTAAATAAAAAAAGATAATGTTCAACAATATACATATATCTAAATGAAACAGTGTCATTAAATATGTGTGTGTACGTGAAATCATTCATTATATACAAATTATTAAGCTTTTATTTTAAAAAATTATTAAGCTCTTATTTTAAAAATTGTTGAAAAATAAGAAAATATTATAAATTATCTGATAAAAGTCACTTAATTACCGAAAACTTTTAGTTATTCCATTGAATTCATCATTTATGAATTCAAAACGTAAGCCAATGTTATTTTTTACTACGGTGTCTGAATGTTACATGTTGGTTAGTTCTGTAGTATTTCTTCATCTATCTTCTCTCTCAAGCAAAATCTTATTTCGTCGGATGAAACTCCATGGAGGTTTCTAGTTTGTCGTCGTTTGACCTGAATGCCATCAGTATCTCCTTTCCTTTTACTTTTCGCGAACATCTTTTTTTATCATTATTTTATTTGTTTATCATTATTTTATTTCATTTTTCGCCGTTATTTTAGTAGCTCAAAATAAGTATGAGAATACTGCAAGAAAACTAATTATTAACATTTATTTACATTTAACATTTATTAATAACTAATTATTAACATATTTATTAACATTTTGTGTGTATGTGTGTGTGTGTATGTGTGTGTGTGTGTGTGTGTGTGTGTGTGTGTGTGTATGTGTTGTGTAATAAGACTGTCAATATTTATAACATTGCAAAATTTTAATCAGCTACACTTACATTATGCTCACTTTTTCGATCGATAGCTAAAAGAAACTTTCGTGAGCTAAAAGAAACTTTCATAAAGAAATACACATATTTAAAAGTGCAATCCAGTATCCGAAAATCAGAATTTTGGATTTGGCAATGACTACACGAATCTCTTTCTATCTATTTCAATTCTTTGGGAATTAAAATAGATAGAAATGGATTCGTGTGGACATTGCCAAATACATAATTTTGATTTTTCGGATATTGGGAACATATTCCAAAATATTAAAATATCTTTAAAGAAAAATACTTAAGTCTCCTAAATTTTTGTGAAACTTATTTGTATAAAATAAATCATCGGCAACACAACAAAATTTGTTATTATTTTAACCAAAAATAGATTTATTATTTTACTCAAGAAATAGTATAAAATGTAATCTTCTCAGCACCATTCGCGTACTTGAAGTAAATTATTTAGGCTCGGTTGTTACATATTTTGGTAAAGTTTACCTGTTGAGTAAGTAGCAAGATTACCCAATCACATGCGCGGATTACCAGATTTACCTAACAGGTAAAATTTACCAAAAGGTAGAACAACCGGTCCTTACTTATATATAGTCGCTGTTTCGTTCAGAATTCATTTTCATATGTAATTAAATTTGCTAATTAAAATAAAATATGACAATTTCAAATACACAGTTAAGAAACAACATATCCTCGATGTTTACTTCTCATAAAAGAAATTTCACAAGACAGACATGGAACATAGCGTGTGTACACTGTAATGCAAAAAGAAACTTCAATCGATGGTATCCCGTATACATGTATATGTACCTGATGATATACCGAATTCTTTCGCGCAGTCAATATTGATCAATGCAACTTACAGCGTTCACTTACGATGAAGCGGAGAAAAATGCCGGAAATTCGTATACGCCCTTCGCTATTGGTAGCATGGCTAATATGACCAGAGAGGAAGGTAAGGACGAAGGATTGTAGTATGGTAGGCTCTCTCTCTCTCTTTTTATAGAAACGAAGAGAGCATTATACTATGCATATTGGAAATCGATATGTACACTCGCCTGTTGCCACATTGCATACGCATTTGTCTGATTTCATGAATGTTATATGTATTGCATGATACTAATTCTTTCTGTCGAGCATGACCTACGGGCTTCACACATGACAATCTGATATGATATATCGACAATACTTGTTGCAAAAACGTTTAATTAATCATTTTACAGCTCAAATAATGTCTGTTTCCTTAATCATAAGAAATCTTTTAAAGTTTCCACCACAATTTTATAAACTTACATCAATTTTTTAATAATTGTAAGTCATATTCATCGATGCTTTATTTGCAGTAACAAAAATTCGTAACACAGAGAATGAAAAAAATGATAGTATTTATTTGACAGATAGCAACAATAAGAAAAATTGGAAAAAATTAATAACAAAGATATATTATATTAATGTTGGTTAAATGCAAGTATTTTTGATAAAAATTTGGTATCTACATTTATAGCATTTGATCGAGATTACAAAGTCTTGCTGTAATTGATATTTCTTTCGCAACTCCGACAATCTAGTATTGTCTCATTTAAATAGTAACTGTGTGAGCTATGTTTAATTATACAAGATGCACTCGTGATGCATTCCTAATCATTATGACCTAGTTGAGAAACTGTTTCAAAGAGCGACTGCCTTTTCTTAATTAATGCAATAAAGATACATATTTTTTAAATCTTGAAATGTCTCATTTTATTTCAAAGAAACGTTGACGAACATAACTAGCTAAATATAAATTTTAATTTGAAAAAGAAAAAAAATTCTAAGATTCTCTTCAAATTTTATTATTGTGGCAAAAAATCACGTAAATTTTAGAAGTTAAATTTAAGAATTAAATTTAATAAAATAGAAAACAAACAAAATGTAAATACTATGTTTTAATTTTGAAGCGATAATGTGCATTCAATATAATAAAAAATAAAAAATTGTTGTTGTAAAAATAGAAAAATAAAATAAATAAATAA